CTTTGTAATTCTAACAACATACTATCAGACTTTTTAAATTTGAGAAAAGATTACCATCAGCGGAATTCGATAAAATGCTGAAGTTGATACATTATTGTAAGTCTGTTTATTACTAACAGAAAAATGGGGTATCAAAAGCTTCTTCTTGCGATTAGATCATAGTTGAGGGTAGGTTCTTATTTGGGAGAGAGTGTTAAAGTAATCTAATACGGGAATTATTTTAATTATATATATATATACTTTTTCCTACCTATGAGTATAGATACAGGAGTTACGAGGATCAGTGGAGGTAAGCCTACATTAGATTACCGTTCACAGATAGTTAAGGATGTGGGATGTTCTAGTTTTAGGGAAATGCGAAGATTAGCTCAGGACAGGAAAAAGAGGAGGTGCATGTCCAACCAGTAATTATTAAGACTGATGATTTTATGATGATAATGACGATGGGTACATCAGTTTTTCAGTTTTGTGTTAGTATGCGACGTATGTATATCTTTTAGTTTAGAAATATAAAAGAAAACTGAGAAGTTATAGTTTTCCACTTCACTATCACTGTCATTATCACTATATATCGGGTTGTTCCGAATGTCATTTCGTTTTTTCCCGACAGAGAATTTAATTGTATTCTTTTGCACCCAACTTCACATTTAAGCCGTATAATTTTTATATGCATTGAGAGCTTCATATAGCAAGGCTTGTGTGTGAAAAACTTCAATTAATTCTACGCAGTAGTTTTTGGTTGGTGCCCTTTTAAATATGGAGAGCGATAAGCAGCATTTTCGACATATCTTACTGTTTTACTACAGAAAGGGTAAAAATGCTGTTCAAGCCAGAAAGAAATTGACTGATGTGTATGGAGAAGGTGTGTTGACAGTACGCCAGTGCCAGAACCGGTTCGCTAAATTTCGATCCGGCAATTTTGATGTCGAAGATGCACCACGTTCGGGAAGGCCGGTTGAAGCTGATAAAGACGCGATAAAGGCATTAGTTGATGTGAACCGGCGAATAACAACACGTGAGATCGGATTGAGGTTAAATTTATCAAATTCAACAGTTTATGACCACTTGATAGGCCTGGTATTATCCTCGAAGCTGGATGTATGGGTTCCCCATGTTCTCACAGAGATAAATCTGTGTCGCCGCATTGACGTCTGCGATTCGCTTCTCAAACGTCACGAAAATGATCCGTTTTTGAAGCGCATCATCACTGGGGACGAAAAATGGGTTGTATACAACAACGTCAAACGCAAGAGGTCATGGAGCAAAAAAGATGAACCGGCTCAAACCATTTCTAAAGCCGATATTCACCAAAAAAAGGTGATGCTGTCTGTTTGGTGGGATTTTAATGGAATCGTTTTTTCGATTTAATGCTACACCCACCACATTCTCCAGACCTGGCGCCATCGGATTATTATTTGTTCCGGTCACTCCAAAATTTTTGGACGGTAAAACCTTCACCTCAAATGAGGTGGTCAAAAACCTCCTCGATCAGTTTTTTGCCAACAAAGACCAAAAATTTTATGAGCGTGTAATTATGCTACTACCAGAAAGATGGCAAAAGGTGTTGGACCAGAACGGTCAATATATAATTTAATAAAGTATTTGTTTATTATACGAAAACTGTCTTTCATTTCCACAAAAAAAAAACGAAATGACTTTCCGAACAACCCTATAGTATGAAACAAAGTCGCTTCCCGCTGTCTGTCCCTATGTATGCTTAGATCTTTAAAACTACACAATGGATTTTAATGCGGTTTTTTTTAAAAGATAGAGTGATTCAATAGGAAGGTTTATATGTATAATACATCCATAATATAGTAGAGAAACACTGATAATTTTCGAAGGTATTACAGACTTAAAAGGCCGGTTTGTATTGTCTAATGACAAAAAAACTGTGAATGTTGTATATAAGGACATTCTGTAGTATATTTAGGATGTTCAGGGGGTATCTTTGGAAGATTTCTCCTTCTCGATAATAATCTAAACAAAACAAAAATATACATATTTAGTATTAGCATTGCACCCGTGCGAAGCTGAGGCGGGTCGCTAGTTTCATATAAAATGGAAACAATTCGTAAATGACCAAACTCTAATCGATGGTTTGATGGTTTTCATTTTAAAAACGTTCTCGGTTTAATGAAACAACAGTGGTGTAAGTAAGTTTAGACTATTATAAAACTTTTGAAGCCGAATCAAGCTTTTACTTGAGCATAACACAAAGACTTCTATTAAGAAAGTCCACGACGGACAGTAATAAGCCAAATCACGAGAAACGAACACTCGTGTGGTAACAATAAATTCTTGACCCTAAATCTTGCTAGTCAAAGTTCTTTGTTGCAATTAGTGCGGTTGGACATGAATCCCTTTGTTTCCATTCGTTCAAAAGGCGCTAATGATGCACTTACACGTTTCTTTTTGGATTGAACTGAACGAAAATCTGACACAAAAGACTACTGTCGAACTCAGTTCTCCTCCAATTAGATAAAATCGAACAAACATTAAATGGCGCCCAATGTGAAGAAGGCGAGGAGACAGACTTAACAACCCTTAAATCGTATCGTTTTCTTTTTTATTTTATTTAAGTTTAACAATCGACTTTGTACGAATGACGGCAATAAGTAACGGTATTGTTACATTGTTTTAAACTTTAAACGTTGGTATGGTTAACCTGTCACTCTTAAATGCATCTGCCGCATAGTGCTACCAACTGTCAGTAATTTTATCAGTTATGACACATGGTTGTAGCCCTGAAGCGGGTAATATTACCGTCAACTTAATATATATGCATGTATTAAGGACGGATTTAACCCTTAAGTCGTATCATTTTATTTTGTCTCATTTAGGTTTAGCAATTGACATTGTTCAGACAACGAACGAACCAATGGTTTGGTAATTTAATCAGTTATGACATGCGACGTAAATATCTGGAGAAGTGAAGTTCTCTACGGCTAAATGAAAACGTTCACAGAATATAGAAATTACACGTTCGAAAATGTAGGGTAAGGATGCCGAATATGAGATAGTCACTAAATATGAGATAGTTAGGTTTTGGCGAAACTAATCGTCGCAGCCATTTGGCGCTACTGTCGCTAGAAGCCACGTGGCAAAAGATAGACACGTGTGTTAGTTCTTCCCAGTCTGAGGCGAAGTTAGGTTATGTACGCGCGGATTTTCACAAAATCCCAAAACCAAATTTTTGTCAACAAATGTTTACAAGGTATGCTACAACTATATTAATTACACTAAATTATTTTAATTTACAGTCATTGTATCAATTAAATCATGAATTTTACGACACGTTTGCAGTTTTGTTGTATTTTCTTTATTAAGAAATAATAGGCAGCCATTTTGTTGAATGTAGATCTTTACATTACTTTATAATATGAAAATATGACTGAAGGTATTTTTGCGAATTTTCTTGTACCATGTGTCGTATTTTTCAAAAGGTGGTGCCGCCCTTTGATGATTTCATGTAATATCCCTATGTCCGGTTCTCCACTCGCCACTTGTGTATATCGATACATATGTATATTAAAATTGCAGAAACCTTTGGTACGTTTTTTCGGTATTTTATTATAAATTATACGAAAGGTACACTGTTCTATAGTCGAGCACAAAATAAAACTAATTTATCTGTTACAGTTAAGTAATAAAATTTAATGTATCAGCCAGGAATTGAACCCTTCCGAATACGTACTACGATTTGTTCAGAATTTGTTTTCTATTTTTTTAAATTGTCGTTCGTGTGAATGTATATTATTATATTTAAAAGCAAATCAATCGAATTCGGTTTGTACGGGACAATTAGTGTGATTGTAGGTATGTTTGCGACATTAAGTGTCAGAAACTGAATTTGATTTACATGAAACCAAAAAAGTTGCAATCCCAGACAAAATATTTATATTGTTTAATTGATTTTGGCGAAACCTATTTTTGGCGTTCCATCAGTAGTGTTGTAGGTCATAACAACACGAAAGTTTGCTTTGCTAATAACATATATACGCTCCCTAAGCATAAATAAATAATGACTTCCTCAATACCAGTTCCTTATTTTTAAATACATTTTCCACTAATTACTTACTTGCATACAGTACAATCGGCCGTTTATTTTTAGATCACGTGCTTTTATGTTTCCATTAGTTCTACTTATCATTCATTACACGTTTTAGGTAGTTTCATGCTTAGTAAAATAGAGAATTGTAAGTTGTTAAAAATTGTATTTATCTCCCGATAAATGTAAAATTATATCTTTTTCTAGAAACCTAATTTTTATTACGACTACTGTATAAATCAGGCAATATTTGTCATATATTCACGGGAATATTGTTATAAAAACAAAGTCAATTCGCTCTCGTAGTTTTAATAGTTAATTTTTGAATATATGGTTGCACAAGTTTGACCTCTATAATAAACATCTTGCTTGGAAATGTACTCCATTCCTTCCCATCTTGAGATAACCTTCGCATTTTCCTAAAACTGTAACATTCCATATCTCTTATTGACTTCCATAACACCTTCTATTTTTAAATTTTTTTTTGATGATGGAGTCGAAGTTTTCTTCTAAAGTTAAATCAACTAAAAAGTCAATATGTTCACATTCATAATTGCACAATACACTATAGGAACTACGATAAATTTTCCCTAATCGGCGCCATGTTTTTAGGCTCCTCCCATTTGACGGATCCCAATAATACCACATTTCTTTTTTCTGCGTCCACCGTCTACGTTTCGTGTCCGTACAGCGTAGTACTTCAGACATACACCTTTAACAAACTTTATACATATTGAAAACCATTAAAACGCATTAACCCATCTGTCCAACAACTCCCAGGCGGTATTGAAAGTAGTGATTTATTCAACGCGAAAAATTCCAACCAACATTTTCAATACCTAGTTCCTTCAAAATTACTCGTTATTAAATAGTTACTATTTTATCAACTGATTAAGTTTTTCTGCATTCTGCATTTAGGTTTCCTAATTTTGCCTGTTTTGTTTTTCAGTTTCCGAGCCTGTTTGAAAATGGCTGACACCAGCGATGCCAATTTCGTTGGAAAACTTTTCTTCAACATAGTCCAGACGAAATGTTTCGTCCTTAAAGTGAAAAAGGTTTGTGCAAAAAAGACCTGGTGGGGAAAATGTTTAAAAAAGAAAGTCGTTAAAAGGGCAATACTAAGAGAAAATGTGTCATACTGATGTGAACAAGTTTCAAAACAAGTTAACTCGAATTCGTTCAATTAATTTCCTTTTCTTTAGTTACAAAAATTAGTTCTTCTCTTTTGCTGTTACTAAATAACGAAAAGAATTAAGAATATAGTAGAACGAAAATTGGAAATCATTTAAGCAATTTTATTGGTTATTTATTTATTGATACGAGTGTAACTTTTCGTCGATTGTGATATTTTCAGTAGGATGTATGGTTATTGATAATGAGACGGCCAGTAATGTTTTTTGGAAACAATTACAATCCTATGTAATAATTTTATTATAAAATCGACAGTGAATAGTTAATTCGACGTACTACGAATATACAAATATAATGAATTAATACATTTTTAATGAAGTAAAAATAGTTAAAATATTATCTGTTTGAATTACAACAATTGTAACATTGTATTTATTTTATTCTCGAATGTCTAAGAGATTTTACGGAAATAAACAACTGCTAGGTATCTACTCATAATCCAAACACATACTTAATAAAATGTACAAAGGTTTTGGACCTTTAAAAAGCTAAACTTCAATAACATTTGCTGATGGCATTCTAGTGAAACTTCATACCTAATTTTTTTGAAATGCATTTATATTTTTTTTTTAATATTTCTACTTTGTTGAAATGAAACAAGTTGTATTCACAAAAAAAGCACAAGTTGCCGACTAAATAAATATCTGCATGATAGTAATTTATTTAGAACTTTCAACAGTTTTGGGTATTAAAATAAATTTCTTTCGTTTTAAGAGTTCTGCATCAGGAATCCCTAGATAATGTCGTTTCGGTCTGTTCACCCTTGTGTCTGTCCGTTTGTAGGTCACATCCTCTAGTTAATGTCTGTACTAAAGACTAGTTCCGCGTGCAGTCGAAATTCAAACAATTTACATACTTTCAAATCAAATAATGGAAAACACTTCGTGCATGTAGGATTCGATTAATCTCAAATAAACATAACATTGTTACAATTAAAAAAAAAATTACTTCTTTTATAATGAACACTGAAAAAGAAACGTACTAGAAGTATACACGTTCACGAATTTGTATAATGGATCTAGGAGACGTTGACTGATGAACAAAAACAGAAAGGTAAAATTTTTGAAAAAAATGTTTTTTGCAAATTAGTTGATGAAGAATTTTTTTGCAATATCTCACTTTGCCATTTTCAAATGACTATTTAGAAGTTTAGAAATAACTTATTATACATATCCATTTTTGAGCAATTAAATGGAAACTGTAAATGTATAAAATCGATAAAGTTTTTGTAGAAATGTAATTTTGAAAGGAACTAGACAAACTGTAGCTATAGTTTTGGAAATCATTATTAAAAATAATTGCCAGCAAAATGAGATAACTTATACTAAAGATATTGTCATTAAAAAATATACTGAAATGTCTTATACATTATTATTTTTAATTTTCCAGCATGGGGCGCCTTAATTTATTAATATTGATTTTTTTTCTTCAATTTCAAACCGAAAAGTTTCGATTTGGGCTAATTCGAGTATCACATTCATTTTATTATCATTTCAATATTTTTCACAAAAATCAAAAACTTCAATAAAGACTTTTAATCACAATTTCTTTATTTCAAATGTCACTGAAAAAGTTCTATCATATTCTTATTAAGCATATTATAATCTATAGAAATTGACTTTTCAATCATAACAATCGGTCAAAAAGTAGCTATAATGGTCAAATCAATATTGATCAATTTTAGCCCTTCCCTCTGGCAGAAAAATCGTAGATATCCCTTCTGTTCACAATCTCAGATGATTCATTTGGAAAGATAAATCTGAATTAGAGTGATTTTTTTCTTAAAAGTTCTCGTCATTCGTTAGGAAAGAGTAAGAGATAACTGGCTACACAATTCACGTGTGTGTTCGAGCTTTTTTAGACGAGCTTTTCGCGAGTGGTATCAAATGAATGTTTTATATATGTCATTATGCACAGAAAAAATCAAAATCATCAAAAAGGTTTTCATAGTTATAATATCCACATGATTTAAAGTGCAGGGATATTTTAAATTTGGACTTGCCTGACTAGATCACTCGTGGGTTGCGTCCACCTAGTAAATTCTTTATTGCTTATTTACAACTCAAAAACTACTTTTGCGAAAAACTCGCGAATCATAAAGAAATGCAACCATTTGGTACAGAAATCTTGGATGAAGTTGGACAAAAAAAAGGAATTTTTGCAACTTGCCCAAGAAGGACATAATTATAATCATATTAACAATTGGTTAAATATAGTATTTCGTAATAATATTGAACTGCAAATGGTACTAGATGATAAAATTACACCTCGTGGCTTTTCCAAAATATTTATTGGAACCTTCCCTGCTACGCTATAGGACAAAAAACCCTTTCTTTACGTTTTTTATCAGGAACTAATGGGGTAAAATCAAATTGTCTACTTGTCCGAATTTTTTCAGATTTTTTGGAGCCTTTTATATTGGTCAAAAAAAATCCGGAAAAATTATTTTCCTTGTATTTTCCAGCCAGAAACCTTAACACCAACGATGTTTTTTTGAAACACGTATTTTGTAATTTTCTACAAGTTACATCTTTCAAGCGGGCGATATTTTTGGTGCGCCACCTTTAGAAATACAAAAAACCGTGTATACATAAACGTTTTCAGATTTTTTTGTCCCACTATGTAGTTTCTGAAAAAAAAAATAATAAAATGTGAAGAAAGGGGTTTTTAGTCCTACAGTGGGGCAGGGAAATGTCGGGGTGCCGAGGTTACTATTTTTAATCTACCAATAAATTCTAATAGTTATTTTGGAAAAAGCCACGAGGTGAAATTTTGCCTATCTTATCCAGTGATACCCTCTAAACGAAGCACTCCTTTGTCCGTTTTCAGTTAACATTACAGTACATCTTTAATACGTCTGATTTAAGAAACTTGCAAACCCAGAGGCGTATTCAGGAACAACTCTTGGTGATGAAAAATTGTTTTTTTACATGAAGTATCTGGAATGAGTTTTATTTAAAGGCCGATTTTTTTACAAACTTGAGTCGCTCAAATTCAGTGTCATTTTTGTATATTTCTTTTGAAGTTATTTTTTATTTTTGTTAGACAAATATAATCCAATTTTTCTCATTCAAAACTACTAAACTGTAGAGCTTTTGGTAGGGGAAAATTTCCAACCCCCTACCCTTGAATCCGCTACTGGTAAACCTAGTATAGTTCTTGAATTATGACTTGGCAGTGTTTGCTGATGGTCTTTATCACAAAAAGGCAACGAGGAACAATAAAAACTACCTGTTGAGTAACTAAGTTGTGGTTGCAGTTGTACATGCGAATTAACAAAAATTCATCAAGTAAAATTTGGAAGAAAGTCAACGTATACAAGTTTTATATTCAAAATTTGTCATTTGTTTTCAAGAAGTTCGATCCTGTATCGTACAAAATAACCAGAAGAAGGTCGATTTGTCATCCGCTCTTATAATTTTCGACCCTTATAATAATTAACGAGTATTAATACAGGTGGGACGGAGGAAGCTGGCGGGAATCTTCAAATGGCGTGCATGAGTGGAGGCAAAAGTAGGCAGTTTTAAGTATAATAATTACAGCCCTCTTTCTTTAGTATCCTTATCAGGGGCGTAGATTAAATATTTAAAAGCAAAGATAAATTTGCAAAATTAAATTAAAAAATTAACTTATTCGGTTGATTTTTTTGTTGTAGATATTTAAAGTTTATATAAAAAAGAAATAGGCGCAATAATTTAGTTTA